TACAACTGCTGATTTCTATTTGACTGAACTTTGTGTGGTCTTAAGCGGGGGTTATAAAAAAATAAAAGCTCAAATCTGTGTTTAACAGAGACTAAGTTTTTAGTAACAGTTTGCTTTTGAAGTTATAATAATACAGAAAACCAAATTAAACCGCGAAGTAAAATGGTACAACGCCATCTACGATCTAAAATGTGAACTAAGGTTATAATGGTACATTTATTTTGTTCCTACCAAAATGCAATTATGTTAGAGTGGATAATATGTAACATAAATTAAGACACTACGTAGATCCTTTGAACTAATTGTAATAAAATGTATAGCTCGTATGAATTAATATGACACATAAAAACCTATTTTAATTTACCTTGAATAAAAATTCGGAAAATTTCGAATGGTTCTTATGATTTTATTAAAATCATGAAGTGAAGATTATATGTATATCAGAGGTAATGTCAGGTCCTATCTCCGTTGCATTATAAATTATCAAAAAGTGCGTTGCTTTGCAGTCAAATTGGTATTTCAAAAATAGATGAAATTTCGTTTTCGAAGAAATACAATAAGCCTTTAGGTATCATATTAATTCGGACGACTAGTAACGTATTACCTAATACATAGAATGTTCCTTGTTAAATCGTTCCTAGGGATTATAATTCACGCAGACGGAATCGCGGACAGGAGCTTTATAAAACCATGATGATAAAGCTAAGGGGATTATCTTTTTTGCAAATAATTCACAAGAACGGAGTATGTTACTAACGTCTGAATTTCCTGCCACGTTCTTGCTGAATAAATTGGTGCTTTTTGAATGGTCTCTTTTTATACGTCACGTTAGCTCACGGAAAGACAATTCATTGTAATAAAATATATAAGCCGCTGTAATATAGAGTCGTAATATAGTTGTATCCTTAATGAAATAATTATATACCATAACATAGTTATACAAAATAGTTACGTTACTATCTTACGCAATCGTAATCTAGTAAAATAGTTATAAATCTAACTATTATAATAATAAATATCCATACTAAACTTGTTTGATAAGATATACGACATTATAAATGTTACAAAACCTAGACTCGATTAGTTTAATTGTAATTAATATGGGATGTTACTTTTTCATGAAAATAATTAGAGTCGGAAAATAGAAACAAAAGAAATCTCATGGGTAATTTAATGAAATAGAATATGTTCGAACATTTAACATATCACGTGATTTACAGTAGTGAATCATATAGGAGGATTAGTTCGGTTCATATCTAAAAAACTTTGATATCCTCCAATATAATTTTGTCATTCTCCGGATCTTTTTTATCATTACCTTGCGATATATCTATAAAACAATAGAATAGACCTCGCCACCGCACCTCCGCACTATACTCCTAGAATTATTTCACTAAATTTATTAATAAGTTTTGTGAAATAATGACATCACTAAACGTAGTAACATATTAATGAATACCTTTTGTATAACTATGAAACAGTATATAATTATATCTTGGGTTACAATTATATAACGGCTTTACACATTTTAAATACTAAAGCACTTTTATAACTGAGTTTACTCAAAATTACCACGGACATGAACCTACTTCTAACATAAGTATTAAGAGAGGGGTGATTAGAGGAATTTTTAATAATTTATTGAGTAACTGGATGTATTATGAAGTCAAACAAAGAGCCCTTATATGATATTAAACTTTTGATTTTACAACTAAACTGAAGCATCAATATATATATTTTGTAAATTTTATGTGTAATATACCTTAGGGACAACTTCTTATCTTACAAAGAGGTTCTCTAGGAATTACGACTTCATAATCCATCCAAACAATATTGCTTTAAAAGTCTAATATAAAATAAAACTTATCCTCAAACCCTTATATAAGTAATAAGAATGAAGATAGCATTGAATTTGTTCCCCAAAAAAGGTTCTGTTTATCGTATCCACATTACTTTCTACTTATGGGATCTATTCTGACTTTACAAGAGGCGTTGACCTTTCACTGGATCCCCTTCTACAATATAAATGTCAAATCTTGATTAGTTTCGAATAAGTCGAGAAATGTAAGAGCTGGATGAGTAATACGAGACATTCAGTTGATTCCGAGACGCGATTACGTTAAATATAAGGAATTTCTTGAGTTTAATTTATTGAATTTTGGCAGTAAAGCGAGGATTTATTAAAGAAGACACAAGAAAGCGGGTTATCTTCCATCTCTTTCGTCGGCTTCGTTTCATATTAATTGCATTGTCATCCAAGCAGTGGCGGACTAACCTCGTCAGGGGCCCGGGGCGGCATCAGGCCCGTACCTACAACTTTTTCCAACCAAGGCAAAAACTTGATCGGCAGTACAACCCCAATTTATGACTTGATCAAGAGACCTTGCAGCCATTTTGAAGGCCCCCGGTATAAGAGGCCCGGGTAAATCGAATGGTCCAAAGAGGGCCCTTCGCCCCCACACACTACGTTACAAATATTACAAAACAAAAACCCATAAAGTGTATAATATAATAACATTTATAAAAAAAAATAAGGTTTTATATCTCATCTATATTTTTAACTGGCTGTAATCCCGCGACTCGACCTGCGCAAATTATAGCCTATGGCACTCGCGTATGATGTAGCTTCACGTAGGTAAAAAAGTTTTTAAAGTGGGAACATGAGTTTTGAGGCCTATTCAATATAAAAAACACTTTCTTCTTTATAATATTAGTACAAATAAATTACTCGCCAACCGTTGAAGTTAATGTAAAGGTGATATATACGCCTTTTACGAATATGATGTAGTTCTCTCGTTTTACAAGCTTTGTGTTAAGGCGCTTTCTTTGGGAAATTGATAAGCATTTCAAGTGTCGAGGAACAACATATTAAATCTAACTCAAACATCAAAGAATTTCCCAAAATTATTTTCATAGGTAAAAGGCAAGGCAAGGGAAATTGTAAATATAAATGGGAAATATATTTCTTTTTATTAAAGAGTAGAAATTACTTTCAACTTAAAAAAAGTGATAAATAACACCTATCTAAAAAGCAATTTATTCAAGAAAACGCTATTGAAGTCAGGCGGAGGTTTTCTGTAGGTTATTAATTAAATGGTAGGCGCCCAACTTTCATAGTATTTTCTTGAATAAGTCACTTTTAAGATAATTAATATTTATCACTTTGTTAAAGTTTTAATTTGTAAATAAAAATATTTAACATAGTGAAAATCTTAGAATAGTTATATTTTTGGTAATAATCTATATTCATATTTTAAAGAGGAAAGATTTGATTGCTTGTTTGTTCACATTAGATAGGCCCCGAAACTATTGGACCGATTTATAAAAGTCTTTCATCTATGGGAAGCTACATAATACGCGGTGGATATAGGCTATAATTTAAGCAGACGAAGTCGCAGGGAAAGAGCTAGTTTGATAGAAACTCGTTCACAATTCAAGATGAAGTCATATCTACCCCTATATATATACTTTACTCATTGATACCTACGATCTATAACTTTCTTAAAAATATACATCAAAGAGCAAAGTATACATACTCGTTAAACATATAAAATCTTCTTTTCGGATTTTGAATGAATTCTAAAAACGCAATCTTTTTTTATTAGCTGAAATGGGCCATGTCATAACATATCATCTTAATATTTAGATGATATCTGTTGGAAAGCGTATTTTGGAATGTTATGAAAGGAAAGCTACTTATTTGATTTCGATAAAATTTAAATGGGTCTATCTCGATTTACATCAAGCTATCGAATAAAAAAAGAATTTTGAAAATTGGTCAACAATGGACGGAAATATTCGGTAAACATACATAAAAAAAACATACAGCGCCATCTAACATATGAAAACAACCCTCATTTTTGATTTTGAAATCGTTTAAAAACACGGTTAAAAATACTAATAAACAATATAACAAAATGTACACAAAGTATTCATGTATTGGATTTTTTTCAAGTTTAAGTTAATCTATATATAGAAATTGTTAAAAACATGTTACTGATAAATAAACAAAGTTAGGGTCTACCCAACAGTGCTCGATCACTTGTCGTTGACACAGCACCTTGGATATTTCAAAGAAACACACAACATAACATCTATAGCTTGTTTAATATATTATTTGGTTGTAGGATCTGTGAACTACGATATAAAGTTGTATTGACTTGGTTAATTATTAAATGTGTTTCATTTTTTTAATAGTAATAAATTCAATAGTCGATCAATGCAATTTACATATACAGATGACGACTAAATAAAAAATAAGATTTTCTATTTACTCTATCGGTCAGATAATAGAAAAATATTAGATAAGTATATTTGCTTCAATTTAAACAAGAAATGGTTTAGATAATTAGCATTAAAGTTGAAGAGTGGGGGCTCACTACATCACAGTTTTGTAGAAAATGTACTAAAATACATGAATGATAATCTGCAATACGAACTAAAACTAGTAATCGTTCCTATTGGTATATGCTAAACATTGGGTATTAAACTTTAATTACCTCAAATTTAGAATATAGAACTAGTAAAAACCTACATTTGATTGACAAATTAAAGGAAACCAATTTGTGATTAATAATGAAAGCTAGTCAGCATTGTTCGTAAACAACCCTCGTTTAAAACACACATTCCCAGTTTCTGCTTTGAAATGGTATCAATTATAATTGCCAAATTACATATATTATTAAACAAAAACGATGAATAATAAAAGACATTAACAAAAATACAGTGTATTTTAAATATATATCTTGTTCAATTTTAAAGGATTCAGTTTTCACAGTAACATAACGGCGGCAATTTCAAGCAAACTTCCAAACTTTCGCAAGTAACGACCGATCAACTATAAGGAGTTTTGAAGAAGGTAAAATTATAAGTTCCCTCACAAGTTTGTGTTTAAATGTTTGGTAATGGCATAGCAATTTATTTCGACATGTTATATTCAGTAATAACAGAATTGGAAATACTACATTACTTAAAATATTTTTTTTTAATTAATGGGGAATCTAATCCCAGTCCCATATGACGACGCTTTGAAACCAACGAGCTACTCCGCTACGGAAGTATTCAATAAAATAATTATAACGTTTATTTCAATTTCTCAATTGTTTTTGGCAAGCAACTTTCGTAAGGGTCGGTCACGAAATGGGTGGGGTCTTCGGAAGGTAGGCAGCTTATGCTGTTAGTCCCGTCTGCACTTACAGTCGTTAAAACCCTCCAATCCGCATTGGGCTATCGTGGAGTATCATAGCCCGTCTTCCTTAACCATCCATAAGGAAGGTCTGAGCCCCTGCAATGGGAACGTAAAAAAAGGGCTGATGACGAAAGCTTAGGACTTAGCTTAATACCAAAGGAAGTGATCAAGTGAGTACTCACCGCTGCTCAAAGCTGTCAGCTCTGTTACTCCTATATCCTGAGTCATTAAGGCTGCCTTCGTGACGTAAGCTTGGCAGTGAGTCCCATGGAGAACGCCGCGGACCTGGGGGTGGAGCACCACGCCACCCATCTGAGTGACGATACCACGCCGCCCGCGCTGATTCACCGATACACGACGCGCATCGTGACGCACTTACAAAGCTGTATAAATAAGAAAAATAACAATTTTCAAATATGCGAAGATATTTTTTTTTTATTTTTGGTTAAATATTATTAATTGTTCACATATTCGTGTTTAATTCATAGTAATAAACAAATTATAAATTCGTTTATTTACAAAAATCAATCGTTATCCCCCTGGTACAGTAGGGATATTACGAGTAATAATAGTAACGTGTTTGTAAATTATAATAGCCTATGTCACCCGCGTATGATCTATCTTACCGTAGGTAAAAGAATTTCTAAAATGTTTTGAAAAAATATAATTTAAAAATATATATCACAAAAAATTTGTGGTCAACATCTACTATAGTACAAATATTAAATATATTCATAGATAGAACACCAAATGTGAGGACGTTTTTAGAGAATAAAAGTAACAATATTTTTGGTAAATAAGTATGACAATGTCTTCGTTTATCTGTTGTAAAATAAACAAAAGCATATGAAGTAATCATAAAAAATTTAAAAGAAAAAAGAAGTCTAATTGTAAGGTACAAGTCCTCTTTCGTAAATCATAAAGCTTAATTAACTAAAAACATCTACAACAAAACATATACAAAAAGTAAACGAGGAGCATCTAAGAGAGAGTCAATTATCGTTACTTGTCTATACTTCTATTATAATACGAAAGTAACTCTGTCTGTCAGTTACTTAGCTGTTCAATTTAGATGAAATATTATATGGAAAAATCACTGAAATGATAAAAAAAGTTTATATCGGGAATCATTAGCTTTCTCACATTCTAATAAGTGAATACTCATCATTGCCTTACCTCTTTGCAAATTATTTCTAATAACCTAGCCTTATATTGATTTTTCGTATATATATAAATATACATATATCCAAAAATGTCACTGCTTCATTCACTCTTTTCTTACACATATCATCTTTCACGCAGTCTATCCTTCTTTTCTCCGATCCCCCTCTTACATTTTCTTCCACATTCATGCATACAAATCTACTTATTATACTTAAGATAATACGTTACTTGTAAATTTTTCTGTCACTGGCACTACTTTAAAATTTTCTTTACTGTACAAATTCTTCACTTTGTCCATTATCGTCTCTCCACACATATACAATCATCTTACGATATATTACCCTTTTCTGAAAAATATATCATCAGTTTTTTAAAAGAATGGAGATCGATGAAACCTGTTAGAAAACACTGGGCTATTTGGATATTTAGAATGATTGTTTATTTATTTATTTAGCACTTTATTGCACAACGCAGAAATTTTTTATATACAATATAATCTATATTCAACAGTATTATCGCTAAACAGCGATCTCTTCCAAGCAACCTATTTACAAAAAGACACAAATCATCAGAAATGGAAGGCTGTGTGCAAAATTGTACACAAAAATTATTTGAATATGTCATGTGCTTTGTATTTTTCGAGTTTCCAATACTTCGGCACCATTGCAAGCGCCATGATCATAGAGTAACGCCGCTTGCAACAGAACCGAAATGACGGGATCTCGAGACTTATAAGTCATATGCTAACAATCCCGTATTCAACAATCAGTCTAATTATCATATTTGATCAATTTTGCATTTACAATGCTCGCCTGAAAAACATACTTAATGAAAAATGCTTAAAAATCCACTTTGTCTATTTCTTTGTCTTTAAGTAGAGTAGAGATAATGATATATGATAATTAGAAGAAAATTTTCATCTTTATCGAAAGTGAAAATATTTCTTTCGGCTGTTAGGGTGGCTTGCCTGAAAATTGATGAAAATACGATCTGTAGTAACGAGTGCTTGAAAAATTCGTCAGTTCTGTTAGGTTCTGGGTAGCTCAGGGGTGAGAGCAGTAGCCCGGATTGGGAAAGGTCATGGGTTCGAGTTCCATCTCAGAATGCCAGGGACAAAGTTGATTTTTTAAAAAGTTATTCTAATGTTAGTGACTAATGAAATTTAAAAACAACATATTATTTGGATAATTAGTTTACTGGAAATACTAATTTACACGTGGGTAACCTACTATAATATACGTAACTAGTTTTAGTATTTTGTACAGCATTAAACACAGCGCTGTCATAGTATTAGAAGTTAAATCAAATAATACCTATATAACCTATTGAAGGCGGTTTTGTATTTGAAAACGTTGTTTTTGACGGTGTGTTATTACTATACTACAAAATAGTACTATAGGGCCCGATTTATTGGCAGGAAATCTGGGCAATCGCCCAGAGCGCTTTGAGCTCGCCGGGCCCAATTATAATAGCCCTTTATTTATTTTTCTTTAAAAAAATATCTTCTCGCAAATTCCTATATCGAACAGATCACAGATCGCATCTTGTTCATAACAATTACCGCGTGGCCCGAGGGATATAAACAACTTTTTTTACTATAAGAAGTAGCTTAAGCCAACTCTTCAACCTCCTAAATAAGTATGTCCGTACAAAAAAAAACCTACCGTGACGGCTCGAGTCATTAGTACGATTGTTTCAGTTGTTCATTTAATGAGTTGTTTCCCAATTTTATTGATTTCGAAGATATTAAAACGCAAATGGACTGTTTAGAAGCATTCATTTTTATTTAGGTATTTATCAATTGAAAATATATTATTAAATTACTTACAATTTAGTAAAAAAATTGAGAACGCCAAATACTAAAAATTTTTGTACTTGTAAAAAAAGATTTACTTTGTAATAAGGATGATGTTAATTTAAACGTGTGAATAACAAACAAATAATAAAGAATTAAATATCTTTCTTTCTATCTACATCCTTATCACATCAACTGACAAAAACATATAAATATAAATAATCGAGCAATCGAGAAGGGCTGGGATAGATAAAACAGCTCTCCAAAAAAAGTTTCACTGCTTTGCAAAATAAAGTTGCAGAATACCATTCGGCACCGATTGCCCTAGTGACATCGATTGAATGAAGTATCTCTGAGAACTGTGGAATTCGATAAGAAAAAACTATTGGGAGTCGAATAGGGTATCCCAAACCATTGGTGCCGGACACATGAATAATTCATATGACTTACTTATATGATAATTTTCTTTTAATATAACGATTACTTCGATAAAAGCTGTTGACTGAAACCGTTACAAACATATATATGAACATTATTTTTATTGGTCTGCAGAGTAATTCTGTAAAAATCCGAAGATGAATAGAATATCTGAGACATGTACAATCAATAATTTTTTGTATTTTTATACATTAAACGGACGTGAATTTGGGCACCTGAGTGAATTCGAATTCGGGTTTAGATTTTACAGAATCGCAGGGTAGATCTCAAAGTAAGTAATTTCATAAAGAAATCAATCAAATATCACATCCTGTAAACTAGGTTGTCAAATTGTTATATTATGTAATAAATTACCTTACAGAACTAAGAGCTTCATGTTGATGACGCATTTAAAGACAACAACTAAGTTAAATCATTTATAATGGAGTAAACTTTGTTACATTATTAACTCTCAACAAACACACATCAATTTGCTTTAAAATTCACTAAAACAATGAAATAGTTATTTATTCATTTATAATAGTTTTCGGGGAACAAAATTAATTAAGTTTACCTACGCTGCTTTAGACACTCAGTTCATTCGATCGATACAAAGAAAGGAACAGAGATGGCTACTGTTATTCCTATTTCGAATTCCTGCATATCAGTTATGGCACAGGCATCCCGACGGTACGTATCCATGTCAGATTAACATGTTAACTCTGAATAAAACTCGACTTTTCAAGGAATGAAGCGAGATTTACGTCAGTTACAGATATTTTTCAATTTTTGATATCAATTTCAAATTCGTATTTATATTTTCTTTATTTTTACCTACTTCACATTCCTACCCTTATTTATTACAAAATATGATTATGACATATCACATATGCCCTAAATTACAATTCATCGTAAAAATTTTGCAAGTATTCTAAAAGCGGAATTAATATCAAGGGTATTATTCTCTACAATTTTATGTAATTATGAAATATTTTAAGTTTCATCAATTTTATTATTATATTTAGGTATTATTATTATTATTTTTTGCATGCTGTTCAAAATGGCTAAATAGGTCAAAGCTCTTAAACTGAAATATCACAACTGTATATATAACCCTATTTATTGCAAATAAAGATATTATTATTATTATTATTATTATACATGTAAGCTAATTAAACCAGAAAGAATTGACAAGGGTATAAATAAATGATTTGAAATCAAAAATAAGATGTATGTACTATTGGACATAACTATGGATAAGCAAAAAATAACTTACGCATTCTCCTACTAAACAGAATATTTACAAATGGTTTTTATAAATCAAAAAGATACATGAAAAGTGTTTCCTATACCGAGAACATTGAAAATGTTTCACCTCTTTTTTCCGAAAGTATTTGGGAAATAACATTGTGACAGATTAGCCAATCTTGTCCCGGTAATACCCATGGGAAACCTACTCGAAGTGCTACTGAAAATAAACTGGCTCGTGGTACGAAATCGATATTTTTACCCACGTACACTTATACTCGTACATGGAAATACAGAGCTATTCCTCACAGGACTAGATGGCAGTAAATTGTTGGAATACTTTATTGCTAGGTGCGAGAAAAACCCGTATATTTTGGTTCTCAATCAACTCTCTCTCTCAATTAATGTTGATTTTTTGAAGTTCAAAGTAATTGCATGAAGACAGCATAATAACTATTATCACACTGCACACAATATATTTCTTTATCTTAATGCTAAATCCACACCATTTTCATAAAATTAACAATAAAAGTTTTTTTTATCAGTTTTTTTTTTTTAACCAAAGTAACATTTGATAATGCAAAGTTTAATCTTTCCCTCTAGCAGGGATAATCTAATAAAGATTTTATCCAAGCACGTACGAAGATAATTATGCTAACGTGGCCTAACAACCAGCTTTGCGACGGAACGGTTTTGTTAAACACAAAAATAAGGAGATAATATGTTTTGTTTAGAAAAGTAGAACGATAATAATGAACA